ATCCCATTATGGTGGATCAACACATGAATTTCTAGGGGTCATATTTAAACTATAGTACCACCTCTTTTCAAAAAATCTTTCCTCTGACAAAGAGGGTGGGGTCAGAGCTAGATTAGCCCCTTCACTCAACTGAGCTAATTATTGTGTCCCCCACAACCCCATGCCAAATTTAAACCCAGTGCTAGGTAGGTCTAGGTGGATAATAATGATGATAATGTATAATATTTCATAATAAAATACTGAACACTTTCGAAATGTTTACCATGTGCCATGCACTGTGCAAAGCACTTGACATATTTTTTTCCCATGAGGTGCATGTGCTCACCAAAGAGAGAGAGAGACCTAGACAGAGAGAAGAAAAGTAAGAAATCACCCCCAGGGGGATGGCCAAGCTGCAATCCCCTTCTTCATTCTCCTCTTAGGATTTTGGGCACACACGCACATGCATCTGGAGTAATTCTCAAGCTGCTGGGTCCAGACTTGAACTGCAGTTGGCCCTGTGGGAGTCCAGTGCCTTAACCACCATGCCACCTTCTAGCCCCAGCACTTGACATATATATTTTTTTTCATTTCCAGAGGGCACATGCACTTGCTGGAAGCAGACAGAGAAAGAGTAAAGGAGAAAGCACCTCTCCAATAGGAGTTGTGGTCATGCCACAATCCCTTCTCTTCCGTCTCTCCATCCTGTCTGGTTTCAGACAGACAGACAAATACACACACACACACACACACACACACACACACACACACACTGGGTGTTTTTCAAGCCACTGGAGCCAGGTCAAACCATGGTCAGCCATGTAGGGTCCAGCTTCCCTAATCACTAGGCTATAGGGTCTGCCCAACACTTGCCATATTTTAATTCACTTATTTAATAGAGTGCTGGCTGGGCAGGACTAAACACCTGCCTCTTCCCCAGACCCCAGCACAAATATCACCTCTTCAGTAGAACCTTCCCTGTTGGCCTCAGGCAAAATCAATATTCTTGCCTCCATACCCACAGTGTCTGGTCTATTGTTGACCCAGTTTCACTAGCTTTTAATTATTTATCAAGTGACTGTCTCCCCTCCCAGCCTGTGAACACTTGAAGGCTAGGACTCTGTTATATTAATCTTTATTAGCCTCGGCATCCAATAGTGATTGGCAGGCACATAGTTACTGCTCATTAAATGTTGGTTGAAAGAATGCACAGATGAATGGAGTAATTAGCACCTTATCCTCAGGCTTATGGGCTTCTCAAAGCTGCTCTCTCCATGAGGCCATCTTCCTGGCCTCAGACTCAGCAGCATGCTAGACCATTGCTACTCCAGACATGCCCTCCAGACTGGCACCTGTCTGCAAACTTTCTGTCGCCAACCTATAACACAGTAAGCACAGAAAATGAGGTAAGTGCTTAGAAATTGTTCAGCAATTTGACAGAGCAGTTTTATGTCCTATGGATCAATCCATGTTTAAAATTGGGCTTTTCTTTTGTATGTCTTCTTTTATTTCATTTTCTTCCTTTCTTCCTTCCTTTCTTTAAGGTTTTTGCCATAGGGTGCAAGTGCTCTTCAGAGAGAGAGACAGAGAAGAACAGTAAGAGGGAAAGTGAGAAATCATTCCCCCCCCCCCGAAGGGTGGGGTGGCCACACAGTAATCCCTTCTTCTCCATTCTCCTCCTGGGATTTTGGTTACACATGCACACATGCCTGGTGTGATTTTCAAGTTGCCAGGTCTGGGACTTGAACGTGGTCTGCCATGTGGGAGTCCAGCACCTTAACCACTATGCCATCTGCTGGCCCCATATTTCATTTTTCTAATAATTCATTCCCTCTGTACTTCGCAGTAATATTGGTCTGCAACAGATTGGTCTGTGTCCAACCTTCCCTCCCTGGGTGCCCTCATCATGGCTTGTCCCCACATCTGTCTCTCCTGCTGTTTGGGTGGACAAGTGATTTTCTCTTGTTCCTGTTTGGATTCCCCCCATTTCGCCCTTCTTCCAAATCTGGCAGTTTGAATGACTGAAAGGGAATGCTGGTCTGGGCCTAGACAGGAAGAGGAAAGGACAAGGGAGGGGGCAGATCAGAGGCAAGTTTGGGAAGAGAATGCTGGATGAAGCAGGAGCCTGTCCTGAGGAGGGGCTGGAGAAGTGACCCAAGGAAAACACCCAGAGCCCTCAGGCTGCTTGTCTGGAGCTACTGGGGCTGAGGAGGGGGGGGGGGGGGGGGGGGGTTTTCTGCTGGGGGGGTGGGGGGTGGGGAGAGTGGGGTGCCCTGGGAAGGGAGGGATAGGGATCTCTAGTCCTAGCATCTTCACCAGGACTAGCTGACTGCCAGGGCCTTGAAGGTGAAAGGAAGTTGTTTCGGGACAAAAGAAAGAAATGGAACCTTTTCAGAGACTCCTGTAACATACCCCAGAAGGCTGTCAAGGTCAAAACTATAAATAAGTCAGTCATGGAGTAAGCCAAAAGCCCCCTTCCCCCACCTGGGGACTAGGGTGGAGGTTAAGTCAGTGAAATCAAGCAGACAGGATGGGATGTGCTCTCTGTAGATGTCACTTCAGAAAGAGAGAAGGTCTGAATCCCAGGCCAGAAAGGCAGGAAGAGCAAGGCTTGATTACAGCCGAATCGATATCATTAGCATATTTAAAGATCATGTCAAGGGGATGACTGTGAGTCTCAGATGCAAAATTTGATGGTGTTATTAAGCAGAGAGAAACACAGAGTGTGGGAGAAACAACTCAGAGCTGTCCGGTTCCCGGAGAGTGTGAACAGAGGTGGGGCAGGGAGTGAGGCCTGGCAGGGCTGGCAGCCCTCCCAGAGGACCAGCCGACTTCCTGTCCTCTCATGCCATGACCCAGTGCTGCTGGTGACCTTCCTATCGAGAATTCTGCATCCCACAAAGGACTGCCTAGAAGGAGGGACCAAGTTGTCCTGCGCATTTGCGCATTGGATATGGTAGTGCTGGTGACCACAGCTAGCCTCATTAAGTTCCTGCTGTGTGCCGGCTACCGTTCCAAGCCCTTTATGAATATCAACTCCTGAAGCCCCCACCTTTATCAGATAGGTGTTCCTGCCCCATTTTATAGACAAGAAAACTAAGGCACTGCTAAATAATTTTCAGATTATAAGTTGAAGCACCAAGATTCACTCCTCGGCTGTCTCCGGAACCTGCACTGCATCAGGCTACTCGGCCTTTGATTTTGGTTGAGGACGGTAAGTCGTCAGCCTGGTTGGTAGTTCGATCTCTTTTGGGATTGGTTGGCATGAGCCAATGCCCAGCTCAGCATGAACAACTCTGGGGCATTAAACAAAGGGGGGTTTGCAAGATTGAGAACTGTGTGCTTTACCTACAATGTCACACCCCATGTGGCAAAACCCAGGGGACTGCTGGCTCCCTGGGCAACGCCCATCCCTACTTCAGTGCCTCAAATCCCATTAAGGCACAGCTCTCCAGGCACTTTGAGATGCAATCAGGAGGGCTGGCCAGGACTAGGCTTACCAGCTGTGGAGCTTTGGACAGGTCACCTCCCTCTGTGCCTCAGTTTCCTCACCAGTAAACTCACTGTGTGTTGGATCATATGACTTCTTACAATAACTCCAGCTCCAGTGCCCACCAGGCAGACCCATGAATGTGCTGCCTCTTGTCCAGTGCGCTGAGAAGTGGATGAAGGGGGAGTGGGCAGGGCACAGCATCCAGAGCAGCCAGGTTCAGTTTGATGTCACAGCTGGCTGACCTCCACTCTGGGGCCGTGCTCTGCCCGCAGGTCCTGGCTACTCTGGGGTGGGGGTGGGGGTGCAGTCGATGCTGGAAGCCCAGGCTCTGAGGAATGGAGTGAAATATCCCCTCCTCCAAGGGGCTCCTTCTCTACTTTTTTAGCTTGGCAGGAATAAAGAAGAGGGGAGGATGTCATGAGTCCTGTCCACCTAAAAGGGCTGGAGGAGACAGGAGCCGCTACACAGAGCTGGAGTGGGAGCGGCAGAGGGGAAGCCAGAGCCAACTCAGAGAATTAAAATCCTGAGGTCTGGCAGGACAGCTGACCCCTACCCTCAGGGCTTGGCCGAGAGGGGGCGCTGTGGCCTCCTCCATGCTCTGCCGACGAAGCTCCCAGCTGCGTTCCTGCGTTGTAGCGCAGTGCGCGCCCTGCTGTCCCCTCGGCAACGTTCAGATGCTGGCTAGTCCTGCAGGGTACAGAGTTCTGCCTTCATCTCCGGATTGTCAGGTCCAGCCCTTGCCTGGACGATACTGAGCAGGCGTTCCGTTTGTAAAATGAATGAATGAATGAACGAACGAATGAATGAATAAAGGCTTCTTTTGCAGTTTCACTGTCTCAGCGCGCACGGGGCCTGTCAGTGCCAAAGGTGCGGGGGCCTGGCCCAACGCTTTCGCCCCGCACAAGTAGGGGCGGCGGGAACCTCCTCCTGGTCGGGCGTAGGGCGGGAACTGCCCAAACGCAGCTTCTGGCTTCTCCCGGTTTCCGCGGCAGCTCCGCTCAGTCGGGATCACTCTACTCCCCAGCCCCCAACAGCCTCGCTCTCGTAAATTCACCTGGGCCCCCTAGTCTGCCCAGATCCCTTGAGCCCCCAGGCACCCACCTCAA